CCCCAAAATCTCAAGTGTTAAACACTTGGTCACCAGCTAATGGCACTAGAGGGATGTAGTGGAAACTTAGGAGGTAGGGCCTGAATGGAGGAACTAAGTCATTAGGAAGCATTCCCTTAAGGGTTACATTGGAAACCTAGCCCCTTCCTTTTTCTCCCTTTGCCTCCCAACTGCCATGAAGGAAGCAGCTTTGCTCTATCACCTACTCCCTGCCATGATGCTCTGACTTGCTATAGGCCCAAAGCCATGGGGCCAACCAATTATGGGCTGGAACAACTGAAACTGGGAGCCAAAATAAACTTTTTCTCCTTTGGTTTTTCACAGGTATTTTGTCCCAGCAATGGAAGGCTGTCCAACACACCTCCTCCAAAAGATCTTGGACCTTTAAAGCTTTATTTCTTTGATATATTTTTATAGCAAAATATTGAGAAAATTAAAAAAGATATGAGATTTTTCTGCCTGATCCCCACCTGGATCCTATGTTGTGTTTATTTCTTAATGTGGTTMTGAAATCAAAGGAATATAGTATGTTAAGAAAAAATAATATGGGAATATGATGGGATACAAGAGAAAAGAGATATGAGAGAAAAGTTAAAAGTTCTTTCATGCTGCCTCAGAACTTGTTTTGAGCCTAGCAACAGGATAAGAGACAATTATACTCAAAATTTTCTTGTAAGATGAGAATATTCATAATTTTGCTGAAAAGAAATAAAATGGTAATTATCTTGCCTAAGATCATATAACTAGGGAGTGAATATTAGGATATCAATGGATATTATAGGCATTTGTATTTGTACTTTCTCTTGTATTCCTTTAATTATCTTTTCTGCAGGTTGATAGTTAAATACTGATGCTGAGTTTTATTGATTTGCTAAATATCAGCATTATTGAATAAAAGTCCACTCATGATTTTAAAAGAAGGGAAGCATTTATTTTATGTTCAAAGGCACAGACAAATAAATATTATATACTATTACAGTGTAGGGAGTCATGGAAGAGGAAGAGAGGCATGATTTGATAGTTTTCTGGATAGTGGAAATGGTAGAAATCTATTTTCAACCCAAGTAACTATAATTATTTTAATAATTTTTAGTTTCTGATTATTTCCTGGAGACCCAAAAGAATATGTTTTAATATTAGGAAGATGTTGTTATACTTTGGCATTAATTGGTAGAATCTCCAGACTCTTTGTTTATCCAGCTTATCTTATCTAAAAATCCATTATCCTACATCTTCAYCCATCTCTAGTGTGTAAAGAAGGCTCTAACCCCATTTATACTATTCTTTTTTTATAATTTTACCCCAATTTTCACAAGCATCATAAAAATTTCTCTCCTGGGTTGAGGATGCAGATCAGTGGGACAGTGCTTGTCTAGCATGCACAAGGCCCTGGATTAAATCTCTAACAAAATAAAGCTAAACAAAAACAATAAAAAAAATAAAGCCCTCTTTCCTAGTTTTCTATAACTCATAGTGAGCATAAACAAATATAATTTATCCTTAAGCTTATTACACATTTCATATTATACTCATGCAGGCAWCTTGTTACCTAAATATATTGGTAAATTGTAATAATTAGCAATGCTTTCTCTTTTATAGTTTTTTATTGGTTCTTTTTAATTATATGACAGCATAATCCATTTGATATAATTATAGAAGCATCTTATTCTAGTTAGAGTCCCATTCTTATGGATGTACATGGTGGTGGGATTTACTCTGTTGTTTTCATATATAGACATGGAAAAACTATGTCAGATTCATTCCAATGTCTTTCCTTTACTTATTAACCCTTCCTTTTCTCAATTCCCTATTGTCTAATCTATTGCAATTCTATTTTTCCCCTCACTTCACACCCCTTCCCCATTTGGGGTTAGCTTCCACTTATTAGAGAAAATATTCTACCTTTGGTTTTTTGGGACTGGCTTATGTCACTTAGGATGATAGTCTCCAGATCCATTAGGGATGCTTTCTTAAGCTTCTTTGATTCCTCAAGGCATACCATACATCCTCCATGGGTCTATAAAAATTGTTTAACATATACTAGTTTTTGAAAATGAAGATATTAAAAAATATTAACTGATGATGAAGTCATCAAAAGAGCTCTTCCCTCAAGAGATGAAACTATTTATACCTAAGGGGTTTCGCTTAATGGGATTTAGCTTAATGAGATTTATAAATTCTCAAGTATATAATCAACTCCATTTGAGTTGGATTGGCTTTTAATGGCTGCTATTATTTTAGGGTCATTAATATCATCACCTGCAACTGTCTAAACTCTTGCCTAGTGAGTAAAACTCTCTTCTGCTTTCTCCTAGGTAAAAGCACATTTCAGTTCTGCTGTAACTCAATCTGTGTATCAATTAAGAACCAAAGAGCTAGCTGGAAGTCACTGTCCAAACTTAATGGTAAGTTTCTCCTTTATCCTATTCCCTTTCTGTCTTTCCTTTCCTTAATTATTTTTTTGCTTCTGTTGTCTTCTCTTCTTTCCTATTTCATGTTTCTCCCTCTCTCTGATTCCATGATCAATTTTTCTGGCACTTTATTATTCTCATTTCATTTTCTGATTGTATCTCACAAAAATTACTAAGTCCATTAATTCTGTTTATGTCACATTTACTATGGAATAGCAAAAATTTAGCATTGGAATAGAAGATGGTAAAAGTGAGGAGGAGATGGCAGAAGAAATGAAGAGACAAAAACTTGAAGAAAACACTGACTTACAGGTGGAAAAAAATTAGAGAAGTCTGAGGGAAAGAATGCTGATTAGTTGAGTAGACATGGCAAAAGAAAAAATAAGTGAAGACCTATGGTCACAATTACATTGAATTTCTTATAGTACTTATCCTAAGTTAAAGTTACATGCTGTTTTCAATTAATATGAACATTTATACATCATCTTTTTAAAATAACTTAAAGGAGTTTACTGAGAAAATTATCTATGATTATCATTTTTGAATTTTAA